AGTCAGTATCTCTGTACACCGTACATCCAAGTCACTGGCACGGCAGCCTTGGTTGTATGTGACGCATGTTGCTTGTACCCCTCCTGTTCGTAGTGTAGCCCATTACCCCCCATTCCCCCACCGCCACACTAGGTAGATGGCCGACCGAGGATCCTCAGTTCGACGTCCGACTCGACTTCTGGCGACACGACATATCTGGCGACACGACACATCTGGCGATACGATTCTTGATCTGACGGCACGACTCTCGATCTATCTGGCGACATGACTCTCGATCTATCTGGCTACACGACTCTTGATCTATCTGGCGACTTCACCTATCTGGCGACACGACTTCTTGGTCTCTACTTTATCTGGCGACACGACTATTGGTTTCTGACTGATCTGGCGACATCGATTATCTGGCGACTCGAATTATCTGGCGACATCGATTATCTGGCAACATGACTCTTGATCTCTGACTTATCTGGCGGATCGACTCTGTGTTTCTTTATCTGGCGACACGGCTCTTGGTCTCTGACTTATCTGGCGGCTCTTGCAACGACTCGATTTATCTGGCGACACAACTCTTCTTATCTGGTGGCTCTTCTGGCGACGCGACTTATCTGGCAGCTCTTCTGGCGACACGACTTATCTCTGGCAACATGAATCTTGTTCTATATCTGGCGGCTCTTCTGGCGACATGACACTTCGTTTCTGACCTATCTGGCGACTCGACTCATGGTTTCTGACCTTCTGGCGACTCGATTTCTGGTCTTTGGTCTATCTGGCAACATGGCTTCTTCTTTCTGGCGACATCACTCTATTGTCTTCAAGATCTTGTCCGCCTCTCAGCCGCCGGTTTCTGACTTTATCTCCCGACTTCTCTGCTTACTCTCCCGCTGCTAGTCTGCCGATCTCTCTTTCTACCTGCTGCCTCATTTGGTGCCTTTGTGGCCTGGTATGTCATGACCTCCTCAACCCCCTCATTCGGTATTAACGGACATCGCTCAGCTAGGAGATAAGGATGTTCTCCAGATCGAAGGGCTAGTCCTCAGCTGTTCCCTTCCTGCGCGGACATCCGAAGCTCCGTCGCTTGGATGACGATCACCCTGGTACGCGCCCCCCTTCTTCCCCACAAATAAGTTTCTAACCCAGCTCTTCGGACTCAACAGCGCTGACGGACCCACAGTCCCGAGGGCAATGTTCGCATTCCTTAGGAGATAAGGGCACCTTTTCCATCCCTCTGTTTGGCAGTACCTCCAATCAGAGTTCCATGGCAGGTTGTCTGAAGCTCCGCCGCTTGAATGACGAACACCCTGGCACGCTCTCTCTCCTTCATTCACCACAACTATGTTTCTGACCTGGCTATTCCGACTCAACAGCGCCGACGGACCTATGGTTCCAAGGGCAATGTTTGCATTCCGTAGGAGATAAGGACACCTACACCTTTCCCATCCCTTTGTCTGGCTGCCTTGTACCTCCAGTCAGAGTTCGATGGTAGGTTGTCTGAAGCTCCGCCGCTTGGATGACGATCACCCTGGTACGCTTTCTCTCCTTCGTGCACCACAAATATGTTTCAGACTTGGCTCAACAGCGCCGACGGACCCACAGTCCCGAGGGCAATGTTCGCATCCCTTAGGAGATAAGGACACCTTTCCATTCCTTTGTCTGGCTGTCCTGTACCTCCAGTCAGAGTTCGATGACAGGTTGTCTGAAGCTCCGTCGCTTGGATGACGATCACCCTGGTACGCTTTCTCTCCTTGCTGCGCCATAATCTGCTTCTGATATGACTATTCCAATTGAACAGCGCTGACGGACCTATGGTTCCAAGGGCAATGTTCGCATTCCTTAGGAGATAAGGACACCTTCTCCATCGCTCTATCCGACTATATTATGCCTTCAGTCAAGAGATCGATGGTGGGGTGTCTGAAGCTCCGTCGCTTGGATGCTGATCCTGGTGGTAAGAAATGCTCTCTCAGCGCAGTGGCCCACCTTACTTACTGAAGGTCTTCAACACAGCGGCCGCTGCACCCGGTTTCAAAGGGTCCCTTGTTTCATTTTGGTTTCATTGATACCCAGTATTACAGTTCGAATTCTCGCGTTCCTCATTTACTTTAGCTTATGTACATGCATGTAACGCCGAAGTCGAATCTCTACCGTTGTATGCAATGCTAAAGCTCTAGTTGCCCAAACACCTCCTCTCGCATCCATCCCATCAATATTCAAAACACGCGACTTCATCGCGATCGGGCTCATTAGTGAACGCGGCAGTTCGACGCGTCGTACACTATTCAGCTTGCTCTTAACCATCGCAACTCTCTGCTGATCAGGTAGTTCATCATCCGTGCAATGCCTGAAGACCTCAACGTCATCCCGCCAGGACTCAAAGGCAACCTCGTGCACTACATCAGCGGTGGAGAGGAAGGATCTCTCTGGAAAGAATACACAAACGTCAGGTACTATACGAACGCGTTCGTCGTGCAAGGACAGAAGGTACGATAACAAAGTTTCGTCTCTGCCAACGTTTGGAGGCCTGGCTGTTGACTGAGTCCTTGTTTGTGGTTTCGTGTAGATTCTGCTAGGGCATAAGAAACGCGGATGGGGTCAAGAAAAGTCAGTAGACCACTACTGCATCTAGCGAAAGGCTGGTTATATGGACGAGACAACTGACGTCGGTCATTCTGGATTTATACAGGTACAACGGCTTTGGAGGCAAAGTTGACGCAGGCGAGACCTCTCTCGAGGCTGCTAAACGCGAGCTCAAGGTATCCTTGCTCCCAATTCCATATATACCATCTATCTCATGCGCAGATGATAGGAGGAAGCGGGTATCGACGCCCCGTTGGAACACGCAGGAATCCTCCTCTTCCTTACGGACGGCGTAGACTGGGCTTTTCACATCGACATCTACCGCGCTGATTCATACAGCGGTGAAGTTCAAGAGTGCGTTGTCGTTAAATAGCCGTCCTACCACTGGCATTTACCGCTCAACAGATCGGAAGAGATGAAACCAGAATGGTTCTCAACACTCCCAGAAGGGACCGATGGCCTTTCCTCAATTCCATACAGCAAGATGTGGGAGACAGACGAGTGCTGGTTGCCGCTCGTCATTGCGAACAAGCCTTTCGTCGGTAGAGCTGATTTTGTGGGAGACAAGGACAAGTCGAAGCCATACAAATGGTGGTACGGCGTTCTCAAGGATGAGGAGGCTTTTGATGTGTGAATGAAATTGCCTCAGGCTTGAATTTCAGAAAGAGCGAGAGAAGATGAATGGTGACGGTAGAGCCCCTAGTTGCTTAGATTTCATGGCATATGGTTTGATTTACATTTGCATATATACGTTGTATCTTCCTTTATTGGCTTTTGAACGCGTCTTCCAAAAGCTCCAGGGACCTCTGTGCGCATCCGAAGGAGGCGATATAACCAGATCCAGCATGCCTGAATACGAAAAAGATGATCAGCGAAACTTGTACTTGCGGCCAGGAAGATATAGTTGCACATACCCATAGTTGTAAACGACAGGTATAGTCCTGTCAGTACCAGGGACCTTGGTCCGTCCAGCTTCAAGCCTCACACCACCCTTCCGCGCAGGCCTAAACCCACTACCTTCCTCGATGACCAGAGAATACAACTCATCCACAGTCGGCTCGTCTCCCTTCCTCAGATGCTGAGGGACAAGTTCAGGCATCAACTTCAGCGTGCGCTCCAATATCCAGCGAGTGGTTTCCGGTCTCGATTTCGGGTACCTACAAATTGGATTCAGGTTAACCTCTTGCAATGCCAGGGGTAGGGAGAGACACCTACCAATCATTCGCCTCCAATGTCCCTCCCAAGATCACATCTCCACTCCTTCTGGGAATGACATACGTCCACAAATTGTCCTTGGTGCTGCTAAACGTCCTCCCGATCTTTATCCACGGTGCCTTAACCAAGATCACCTGTCCCCTAATCGGATAAACATCCTTATCCTCCACACCACCAAGGCTGCGTGCAGCCAGCCCCGCACAGACTATAATGGCATCAGGCGCCTTGGGTGGCTGATTCGCAAGGTGCCGTCTCTGCTCCGTCTCCAAGAACGGTGCAACACCATTCTCGGCCAGCTGGTCAATGTGCTGCACCGAGCCACGCACAACGCGGCCGCCCTTGGCGATAAACTTGCTCAAAAGGAAGTTGGTGAAAGGCCCGACGTCGATGGTCACGGTTTGGAACGTCTCGCCTGCTTTGGCGCCTTCAATATGTGCGAATTCGTCTTTGGTCAATGAGCGAAACTGTCATTAAACCCTCAGCTCTGTGCCTCGGAATCGGACTGTAACGGGTAACCTGAGCAATACGTACCTCGGGCATATGCGCAAGCGTGCTAGGATTAGAACGCTCCTGGCCAAAATACTCCGTTTGCTGCAATCTCATGAAGCAGCTTTCCGCTTCACCGTTGGGTCCAGATAGGGCCCACATCTCCTCGAACGTCTGCTTGTCCAGAGCTGATAGGGCGATCCTCCGATTCAATACATCGTGCAATGCAATTATAATTAGTTACGTACCATGACGGAATTCCTCCAAAGTCGCGAAACTAACGTGGTGCGCACCCTATCTGGAGCTTAAATGTGACGTTCAAAGGATAGAAAAGGGCCCGACTCACTGCCCAAAGACTGGTGTATTTGATAGTCTTGGGATCCGTAGGCAGATTCTCGGCCACTATCGTAACCTGATACCCTCCCTGCTCCTGCAGTCTGAGTGCAGTCGTTAGACCGATAACACCTAGATAATGGCGTTAGATCGTTTTTCAATGTAGGAACTCCCTACCGCACCTGCGCCAAGCACGATAACAGATTTCTTCTCCATCCTATTGAGTCAAGCACTTGCGGTCCAGAGTAATGCCCTCCTCGTACGACAGAAAAAGAGCAACCCAGAGTCGACGGCCGCCATCGACCGACCCCATGGCTGCAATGCGGAACCTGGAAAAATAAAACACGTACAGAAGAAATTATCTCCACATGGTCCAAACACAACACAAAAAGAGTAACCAATGATGGGACTCGAACCCACAGCCTCTGCCTGAACCTTCAAACGAAGGTAGGAAAGCAACGCACTACCATTGTGCTACATTGGCTTGTGATGCTTGACGGCCCGCATAGCCCTTGATGCTGGGTAAAGCGGTGCCCGAAATTGGTGGATCGCCTGATGTGCGGGAAAGTCGTTCGAGATTTGTGAGTGGTGCAACAAGTTGTCGCAGCAGGCAGCTCGTTCCATTTTATATTCTTTTCCATTAACCACCACCATCTCCTCTGCCCCGTCGCCTTCAGAACCGTATTCGACGTTTCTTACCTTCCAGGACAGCAGGAATATATGGCGACAGACCTTGGGTTGGACCCGTCAGACCCTCTCAATCTGCTTCTCCACAATTCTTCGCAGAACAACGATTCTTTAATGGACGAATCGACTTCAGATGGCTCTAGTCCTCCAGACTGGTCGCAACTCAGCTCGTTGTGGGATGGTTCAGAGTCTGTCGGTGGGGGCTTGAAACCCTACCCGGATCTTATGGACTTCAGCGAGCTTAATACCCTTCCAATGGATATGGACTTCAACCCGGCAATGGGCATGGATCCAGGCGCACTGCACTACGACCCACTCAAATTCAATATGCCCTTCTCGTTCGAGGACGCAGCGGCATTCCACAACGTTTCAGCAGAGATGATCCCGCCACAGTTCACCTTCACATTCCAGGGCGCGATGAACGCTAGTGCAAGCAGCTTCTCGTCTGCCTCGTCCTCCTCGCTTTCATCCCCGGAATCTTTGACCAAGGAACGAAGACTGAGCGTCACGTCGTCGTCGTCTTCTTCGGGGGCATCCCTGTCGCCAGTCATGGAGTCACTCGCAAGCCCATCAACCAGCTACTCCAGCGATGCCTCTTCTCCCTCGCCCGCTGTGCCAAAACTCGAGGTCAAGACTGAAAACTTTAGGCTAGACCCTGCAGCAGAAATAGCAGAAAGTGTCCGCCAATCCGCTGGAGTCATGCTCGCAGTCCCCATGTCGGCCGACCTCTCCAGCCAAGTACTTGCTCAATCAATAATGGCAGGCAAGTTGTTACCAAGTTTCTTCAATTGAACCGAAGTACTTACTATTTTTATATAGCCGGTAATCTACAGAATAAGGTTCCAATATCGCGATTACCCCGCGCAACGGGCTCAAGGTCCCCGATTTCCTCGAGTTCCTCGGCAGCTTCGACACCCCCTCCATCTACTCCGCCTATGAACAACGCCCATCCTGGAAAGCTCATTATCAACGCGAAACCCCTCTCAGCCTCCGCCAGCTCCTCCGCTCTCCACACCCCAACTCCCTCTGCGCCCCAGCAAGCAACAGGCAGCCGCCCCAAGACCTCGCACACCACCATCGAGCGCCGCTACCGCACCAACCTCAACGCCCGCATCCAGAGTCTGCGGATGGCTGTCCCAGCCCTCCGGGTCCTCGAAGACCGTGACGGCGGTAACGGCAAAAAGATCAAAAAGAACCTCAAAGATGGTGTCTACGTCAAGGGTGCTGGAATCGGAATCGACACGGAGGATGGGACAACAGTCGACGTGATCGATGTACGAGGCTTTGTTGATGGAGTCAAAGTTGCACGCAAGTGCAGCAAAGCCAATGTCTTGGGTAAAGCCGTCGAGTATATCCGTGTCCTCAAGAAGCGCGAACAACGGCTCAAGGCTGAACAAGCCGGCATGAAGGCTCTAATCTGTGGGCTTGTCGGCGGACCTGCTCTGCTGAAGGAATGGGAGATCCGGTGGAGAGAACGGTTTGGTGGTGAAGAGAAGGATGAGGTCGAGGGCGAGGATGCCGAAGACGATGACAGTGACGATGACGAGGGAGATGATGACGACGAGGTTGGAAAGAAGAGAAAACGTGCAAAGACCTCTGCTGCTCCCGCAAAGAAGCCTGTCGATCGCAAGCCAGCGCCATCGCCCATCGTTACAACCCCAGTCGCCGAGCTGGATGGGACCCTCGTCAATGGGGCTCCTGTGCCAGAAAAGAGGAAGCGAGGCAGGCCGCGGAAGGTTGTTCCTCCTCCTGCTCCCGCCGTCACCTCTGCACCACACATCTCCCACCAACAGGCTGCTGCCGTTGCCCAACAACAGCAAATGGACCAGATGATGCACTCACCCGAAGGCCACCAGCAAGGCCAGGCGCCACAATATATGCTCGCCGTCTTTGCGCTCTTCTCTTTCTTCAACTCTCCCCTGACTTCGCAGTTTGCTTCCAAGGCAGCTCACCAACACACTGGTGTCGTCCTCACCCCTCCTCTTGCCCTTTCACCGGAAATCGTCTCGCAGTACTCTCGCCTCCCTGCGGTTGATGTGCCACAACTCTTCCAAGTCTCGTGGGCATGGAAAGATTATCTCCAGTTCCTCCACTTGTTCGTGTCAGCACTTGTACTTGGCGCATTCGTTTGGAATTGGGTTAGTGTCACGTTCAGGACGAAGGGCAAGGCTCCGGCTTCAACTGCAGCTGCATCCCGTGAAGGAAAGACCAATTGGTCGGCTGTATGTGACGAGGCCGTTCTCAAAGGTATGTTTTCTTACTATCCAAACATTCGGGATGAATGCTTACAATCATGCAGGAGACACGAGTTCGATGTCTGCCGTCTCACTCGCCCGGATGTACCACGCTCTTTCCTCCTCCAAGTCAGCCACCGTCACCCAACTCGGCTCACTCTCCCTCGCCATCTACAACGCCCGCGGCCCTTTCAGCTACGTTGGAAACCTCAAAGCCCACTCCCTTTGGCGTCAAGCCAAGGTTGAGTCCGAACTCATCCAAACAAAACGCAGTTCCAAACCTGCCGTACGGAGCATCGAGAAGCTCGTCATGGAGACTTTCACTCTGGAAGAGGCTGCGAAAGCTGTCGCTTCGGCTACACCACGGGAAAAGTCCAATGGCGAGGCACCATTCACACCGGTCGAAATTCTCGGCTCGATTGTCGTGAAACAGCGCGTCAAGCAACATCTAGGACAGCTGTTCGTCGAGGCCGTCAGTCTTTCGCAAGACGATATTGTCGAGCGGGAGCAGGAGAACGACACCGTCAAGCAGCGCGAACAGGAGATGCGACGGACGATCGAGGCTGCCCGCGAGCTCGGGGGTGACGTTGAAGAGCTTGGACGTTTGCTCGAGCGTGTTTGGAGGGGTACTGTTCTGGATGACTTTGATGCCGAGAACAGTGCTGCTGAGGATGTTGGGCCGGAGGATGGCGTGGATGCAGAGATTCAGTCGTTGTTGGTTGCTCTGGTGCTATATCGACGAATGTTTTCTGGGTCGAATACGCCTAAGGCTTCGTCGTTGCTCATTAGCCCGCCTCCGAGCCCCACACTACGGACTTCTCAGGAGAATGGGCCTTTGCTTGCATTGAGGAAGGCTCTGGGTAGCTGGGTGTTCGAGGATGGGGATCGCGAGGGGAGCATGGAGGATGCAAAGGATAAGGTCGTGGATTTAATTGTGGATATGGAACGGAGAGGAAGGAGCGCTACGCCCATGGCTTGATTCGTTCTGCGGCGTTTTTGGATTGTATTTATGTTTTCTCTCCCTTTTTCCTCTCACGAACTCCATTCTATCATATGTACTAACTTGTTATCTGTATGTAAGTAGAAGAAGTGAACTTGCTGATAGTTCGAGAATTTTCATTTGGTTTATTAGTTTTTGAAATACACGATACATTAGTTGATCTTCATGTAATAATTAGTACTATCTACACCGTTCTGAATGGATACATACCCGTATCATGGACCTCTCTGGAGCTGCCCCGACGAATCTTCCGACCACTGCATTGAGTCCAGATATAAGGCTTGTGTTTACCATGCGAGCGGATGAACCGGTTCGTATGGGTCTAAATGATGCGAGACCACAGCCATCAAATTAAGTGTGGGACGTTAAATGGTGCCAAGTTGCCAGCAATTAGCATTCCTTCCATCCACCACAATGACTGTCGGTGAGTATTCGCGTATTAACTTTAGAACTTGCACTGAGTTTTGAGGCAGATTATAGTCTTTTGGGCGGTGCAGAGTCGCTAGGACCAGCAAAAGGCCAAGAATGGCCGGAACGGGCACCGCGACGCACATTTGCCCCGAATGAGGGGGAGAATCCCAATCTCCACGCACATAAAGTCGCCCCAATGGACTCGAGCGACTTTCTGTGGCTCATGACAGAGGAGCCGCATCGCAGTAGACGCCAGGCCATCATGAAAGCCCATCCGGAGGTCAGTAAAATGGGGCACGCTGGATCTACACAAGACTGACATTGATTTATAGGTTACAAAACTAATGGGCCACGAGCCTTTAACCAAGTACGTTGTGGCTGGTGTGGTCTCGCTTCAAATAGGACTGTCAATATACCTCCGACACACCTCACCATTCTCCCCTTGGTTCATCCTGTGTGCCTATGCAATTGGAGGAACCGCGAACCATAACCTTTTCCTTGCCATCCACGAAATCACGCATAACCTGGCGTTCAAGGGGATCGCACCCAACAAACTCCTCGCCATCTTTGCCAACCTGCCCATTGGTATTCCCTATTCCGCAGCGTTCAAGGGTTACCACGTCGAACACCACAAATTCCAGGGGCAGGACGGTATCGACACGGATTTACCGACAAGGTTGGAACTGTTGTTCTTGAATAACGTGTTTGGAAAGGTCTTTTTCGCGTATGTTCTCCTCCACTTCTGCTCTCAAGTTCTTTCTGTACTGACTGCCACATAGAACCTTCCAAATCCTCTTCTATGCCCTCCGACCAACGTTCGTTCGAGCCCAAAAGCTCACTCGATGGCACTACCTCAACATCTTGGTGCAAGTCGTATTCGACTATTGGCTGGTCACAACCTACGGCGCCCGCCCCCTAATCTACCTCATCATGAGCAGCTTCTTCGCGGGGAGTCTGCATCCCTGCGCCGGCCACTTTATCGCAGAGCACTACCTCTGGGACGGCCTCGAGCAGGAAACCTACAGTTACTATGGACCCCTGAACGTCCTTGCCTACAATGTTGGCTACCACAACGAGCACCACGACTTCCCCTCCGTCGCCTGGACCCGCCTGCCCGCCCTCCGTGCGCTGGCACCAGAGTTCTACGACAAC